ATACAGTCAGATTAAGCTAGGGAAGATAGTAAGAAACCTGCTGGAAAAAAAGGCAAGTAAGCTCTGGGTTATTCTCTTTTAATGCATGAATGCAGAGAAAGCTTCAAATGCTACCTAGGTCTCCCCTAGTGATTGGGAACTGCTCATTTTCCATCTGAGAGGATCTAGAAAAGAGCAGTAGCTGGAGATTATAGTAGTAATTGCCTTTACTTGCAAAAAAAATTAAACCTAATAAGACTTGGTATTTTGTGGTCAGCTACACACCAAATATCAACCTCTCCTTTTTCTATCAGAGGTTTTGCAAATACATGACTGTCTCACAGAACTAAATTTTGTTGATACTAAAGGGACTTTTGGAGATGGAAAGCATTCAGTGGACTTGCTGATTCTAATTCTTTTGAGTAACTTAACATTATATAGCAGATCTATCAAGGTTTCGCTCTTTGGTATGTGGGAAAACCTAAAGTATTGCACTTTTTACAAGAAAACAATCCAGGGAATTCTGTTCAATGAACTGCTTTTTCAAGATAGTTTACCCATGAAAAAAAAAAATTTATTCTTTGGACTGTACTTTTAAAGAAATACAAACTGCACTTCAAAGGAGAAGATTATAGGGTATGTCTGATTCCACAGGCAGAGTGGTCACCTTGTCACTGTATTTTTCATTACACCAAATAACCCAATGCTAATAAAGAGGAAAGGTGCAGAATGATTTAATAAATGTGTTAACATCAGAGAAATGAGAGACAATAAAAAAACCCCTTTCCTTTCAAACTTCATTAGACTTTGTATCACTGAATACACTGCAGATTTCACAAAACTGAAGTCTGCCTCAAAAGCAGACAGTATAATTTTGTCCAGAGGGAGGTGAATAGACTTTTCCCAGACACACTGGCCCATTTCCTATTTATTCTGCAAGAGATTTAAATAAAGTATAACTTTACCTGTTACAAGGAAAAAAGCCCAATCCCAACCCTTAGAAGACCTGAGACTTGCTTTGGAAAAAAATAAAGTACATCTGATTCAAGACAGTTTTAAATTACTGTTTTCTCATTGGAATGCCAGAGATCTCTTTTACAGAGGGTTTCCACGTCTGAGGAAGAAGCCATTTGATTATAACAATCCATAACCTTACTGGGGAAATTGTGGTCAGCTTTCATGCTTTTTCCCCCATGTTGGTTGTTCTGTGAAGCTAATTGATTTCCCTCATAGTGAAGCAGGCTAAGCTTTCATGAGTCTGGGAATTCACTATTTTTTATTTACTTAACCCCAGTGCTGTCGCAAAAGTAGAAGCTGGTGGGACAGGACTTGTTGAGTCTGGTCCTTTTTGTTTCTGTCACTCTCATTTCTCCAAGTAGGAGTCCGAGTCACTTCCAGCTGACATACTCAGTCAATACCTAATGTCTTGTAGATCGAGTATCGCAACTTATATACAAAATGAAAAGTGTGTTTTTTGACATGCTGTTTTCCGAAGCAGACTAGGCGAAAGCCTTACACCCGCGCTGTTCACCGACCCGCGGAAGAACCAGTCGCTGTTTTCCAGAGGCCTGAGCTCCTAGTCCTGCTCCCGTACACCCCTGGCTTTGCCAAGAGAGCGCTGCGCTTTCCCATCGCCGCGCCAGAGCAGATGAAGGCCCCGCTGCGCTGGGCAGCATAAACACGCACCCGGTGACTGTCCTAGTCTCCAGACACCGCCAAGCCAGGCGCTTTCAAACGACCTGCGAGCCGCCCCGCGCCCCGCCGCTGGGCGCACGCTGGCCTTACTCGCTGGTCGCTAGCCAAGCTCTCGGCCAGGCCGCGGGCGTTCCTTG